CAGGGATCAAGGACAGGTGTGGTAGCTCAAGAGCTCAGCCCAGTTAGGTCTGACTGACCAGAGGCCCTGATAGTAACACCCCAGTTATGGGGTCATCTTCCAGGCAACCTGGGACAAATGAAAGGTTTGCAGTAACTTGGGGGGCACGTACATGGTTGGCCGGTTCCCAGGATCATTCTTTGGGACCATATCCCTCCCAGTTGATCAAACAGTGCAGCTTGCCTTAGTCATGTTCGGAATCTAAAACCTACTTAACAATATACTCTTTGTGACCTTCCACTATTATCGGTGGGATGAGGGGGGTACAGACAGTTAGGAAAAGGGCTTTTGGGTAGAGCTTAAGTAGGGATACATGGAAAACGGGGTCTGTCTTCAATGTCTCTGGTAGCTGAAGCTTGAAAGCCACACATTGAGTGCTTTGTCAGATCATCAGAAAAATCAAAATGTTGTCAAAGTAAATTATAATGAATCAATCCAGAATGTTCTGGAACACTTCACTAACAAAGCGTTGGAAGGTAGTGGGGGGCATTGCAGAGTCCAAAGGACATGACCAAGTATTCAAAATGCCCATAGCAGGACCAAGACACAATCCTCCACAGTCATTCTCCTCCCATATACGGACTAGATTGTGGGCCCCTCGTAAACCTAATTTTGAAAAAATCTTGGCCTGACAAAACTTCTCAAAGTAATTCATTCATTAGGGGCAGCAGGTAGTGGTTAAGAACCGTTACCCTGTTTAAAGCCCTGTAGTCAACACGGAGGAAGAGTGCACTATCTTTTTTTTAGTCACAAAGAATACTGGAGCCCCAACTGGGGACATGGAGAGTCTGATAAACCCCTTATGGAGGTTCTCCACAATGTACTCTTTTTGAAGCTTGAGTTCTGGTTTGGAAAGGGAATAAATGCACCTGAAGAGACTCTATGCTCCTGGCAAAAGATTAATGGGGCAATGATAAGGGCAATGTGGAAGAAGCTAGTCTGCCCCTTTTTTCTTGAAGATGTCTCCCAGTTACAATATTTAGCAGGCAGTGATGGGTCAGGTCCACTAGGCAGGTATCTCCCACTAATGCTGGCTATAAGGCATCTATGATCAGTGTGAAGGGCCTAGTATCATTGACTCAGCTTCTGAGCTGGGTCCCAGTTTGAGGAGCCTTCTCCAAACAAGAGCTTGAACAATAGATAGGGATCTCCATAAATCATGCCAGAAGTGTCCCCCACAGCAGCCCCTTTAATGTTTTTCATTTTGTTGCTTGCCCTCCCCATCAACCAACTCCTGATTGGCAGCAGGGCCCTGACAGCTGGGCTGTTTGCTGCTGATAGCTAGGAAAGTGAAGACCGTGGCTGGCAATCAGTGGTGAATGGCCTGGCCAACAGGGCCCCTCTACCAATCAGGGGGCGGGGAAGAGGCAAGAAGTGAAATGCAAAGTATTATAAGAGCTTCTGCAGGAGGCACTTCCAGCGCAGTTTATGGAGATCTCTAGGAATAGGGACAAAACAGCTTCCTTAAGCCCTATAAGATGTCTGTATCATGGAGAGATAACCAAGGAATTCCTAGACAACTGAAAAAATGAGGGGCATGGATAAGGTCAAAACAAAAAGATTCCCAGTGATCCTCTATTGATAGCCCTGGTAGAGCTGTCTCACTGGTAATGGGGCCTGAGGTGACAGGGAATCCATCCATGGCTTTGTGCATCTTTTTTTGACCTGACCAGTATATGATGTTGCTCCACAAAAGGTCAAGTCAGTGACGTTAAAAAGGGCTCTGGTATCTAACAAGGCTGGGACAAAGACATCCACCCCAGACCAGTTCTGTAGGCAAAGGGTGACTAGCAAGGGTGAGTCTTGGATCTTGATGGAGCTCAAGAGCCTAATGTGGACGGGAGGGGAAGGCTACACAGTAGGTCAGGGCCACTCTCGTCCAATGACACGGGGTTGGGAAGTCTCCTTCCTTGGGCAGGTCTGAGCAAAATGCATTGACTCCCCACAGTGTAGGCAGAGGTCCTGAGAATGACAGTAAGCCTTCTCCTCTGGGGGAAATCTCTTCATCATCATGTAGATCTGCATGGCAGTGTAAGCTCTTCATGGGTCCTAGCCTGCCCATGTGACTGTGATGCAGCCTCATATTCCTGTTGTCACTCATACAGATAAGCATCAATATGGAGGCTGAGGTCAATAAGGCCATGCAAGGAAGCTAGGATCTCCACCCAAGCTGACTTGTCCTTAACGTGGCCCTAGAGCTCCCAGCAGAAGTGGAAGTGTTGAGCTGCCTCATTCCACACAGTGTCAGTGATCAGCCATCTAAACTCTGAGGCATAGCTAGATACCAGGGGGTGCTCTTGTTTGAAGGTCTGGAAAGTCCACTCAACACTGTAGACCCTCAAACGTAGTCTAGGGTGCAACCTGAGATCAGAAGCCAGGTGAATCAGAGAGCTGGGTGCTGAGTTCCAGGAAAGACCCAAGAGCAGGATCAGAGAAAGCCAAAGCCAAGTCAGGAGCCAGGAGAATCAGAAAGCTGGTACCAAGTTCCAGAGAATATCCAAGGTCAGGGTCAGCTAAAGCTAAAGCCAAGTCAGGAGCCAGGAGAACCAGAGAGAGCAGTGAACGTGAGGTTTGCCAGAGCAAACTGAGGCTTCTGTCAAGGCATTTCTATAGCCTGAGGCTGCAGGTGTGCTTAAAACATCTGAGTGGTAGTTACAGAAGCCAATCCAGAGAACTGAGGCAGTCATATTAGCCAGAGATCAAGGTCATTTGCAGTTGCTCATAAGCTCAGCCTGGCTGGGTCTGACCTATCAGAGGCCCTAACAGGCATCATGCTCTCCCTCTGTAGTTTAGTTCACCGTTATTACTAATTGCGAAGTGAACAGTTTTTGAGGTTTGTTTCACATTTTGTTTTTACATTTCTGCTGTTAAGCAGAAAGTTACAAGATCACAAGAAATAACACTGAGAGATCCCTCTTTCGTTCTACAACAATAGATAATTGTTTTCAACAAAAGATGGATCATATGTTATATCCAAGTTCCAAGCACATCCAGATTTCTGGCAGCAATGAGGTCCCACTTTCATGGACTACTTGCTATGGAACTGCATTCCCAAAGCATCATCCTTGAAATTACCCTATCAAACATGAGGACCAGAAATTTAACTGAATTCCAAATAATACAGGGAGCCAGTAGTATGTACAGAACATTGAGGTTATGTATGTAATAAACTGATTTATTGCACATGATAATATCTCTCTAGTGACGGGTCCCATTAGCCTACTAAGTCTCATGGATAACAATTTTCTTCTAGCTTTATTGGAGTTTCTGGAGCTGGTTTCTGGTTCAAGAGTCACAGATAGCTAATCGCTTTTGTACATATTATTTAGTCATGGTTTGGTATATGAACATTTCAAAATAGCAAAGAGCTTGAATAATATTCTTTGTAAAAGTAATAATTTGCTATTAGTTTTAGTTCATATTTTTTTATTTAACAGGCTTCATTCACAACAGCAGAATAGTACACACAGGCTGCTTCCAGACTGCGAGTGCAGCCATGCAGTATGTGAAGCCATATACTGCATGTTCAGCTGTTCACTGAGCTGCAAGGGAGAAGTGTGGGGGGATTGACTGCTGAATATCCAAGGGTCAAAGAAACCTACACAAAAAAATAAAAGAGGAGCGGTGCATGCAGGAGCAGTGTGTGCCACTCAAAATTGGAGCCTGGTCAGCCAGAGCCACACACGTGGCAGTCTTCATGCTCTCAGAAGGAGCTACCATCCCTGCAATTGTTATCTAAATCAGGCAAAAAATAACAAAGGTTTAGGCATTTTCATGATTCCCCATTATAGCCTAGGGGTGAAATGTCGAAACGCGTCGAAACAGAGAAACAGTCTCAACTAAACTGAACAGAACAGTGCTCTGAAACAAAACGACGAAATGAAATACTGTCCCTTCAAAACGGCGAAATGGAAGTCAGAATGAAATGGTGCTGTTTCACACAGCCCTGCTGGCCAAACTACGAGCAGAAGGATTTCAGAAACTGCAGCCCCAGGAGGCCTCCAGGGTCCCACATAAGGCTACTGAGGCCAGCCAGTGCTGGCCTCAGCCTCCCCTACCCCAGCCTGTGCTTACCTGCTGCACCCCAGAGGGCACATGGCACAGGCATTCCCTGGGGACAATTAGCAGCAGTATAAGGTGTGCTGCCACTAGTTGTCCCTGCGGATCCAAACACCCAAGCTTGTATGGATGCAGCCATACATTCAGAACTGGGAATCTGAGTCAGTCTCATTCTGCTGCCAGCAGAAAATTAGCATACATCTCCCTGGAGGTAGGAAGTATCTCTCATGACAACACAGTGACATCTTTGGTTCCAGGCAGCATAGATTTTATGGGCAGTAAAATAACCCAGAAAATGATGGGAGCTTCAGGTCTGCCTTTCATTTCCCTAAGCAAAAGTACTACTAAGTGAAGCCTGCTTCCTCTTATCAAAATAAATCTAATCAAGGTCTTGCACAAAACACTTTAAATATATTATATAGAATCCAATTTAAAATGTTTTAAAACTATATAGCTATATAAAAAGTAATAGCTAGGGAGAGTTCTTTACATTAGGAAGCATCATTGAATAAAATGCTCCAGAAATAAACCAAAAAATCACATTCAAGAAGAGAGATAACGGAAAGCTATAAAAATTATTTCAATGTCAAAAACATTTGAAGGGGTTGCTATAACATAGTAGCCAAGCCTGCAATGCCACGAGCTTCACTGAAAACGGGGAAACACAAAACCGTACTGCTTCAAAGGCAAACTGGAAATTAATTATTTCAGTCATTCCTCTGGAGGAAAAATAACTCCTTGTCTACACAGTCAAGCAGACCCATATCTTGTCAAAAAGCTAAAAAGATGTACTTTCCCTGAAACTATGCTGACTGGTGTTAATTACATTTTCAGTCTATAACGCTTTGCTGATAAAGTCCCAATCATTATTCACAGTAATAATAAAAGAAAAAAAAACTTACCTTATTTTGGCAAATCTGGTGGACTGATCTAGATTGAACATCCGGTATCACTGCTGCACTGCAGCCTGCATTGAGGTCAAAAACTTCTAATGCTCGGTTGCTTCCAGCAGCAAGTACAATATCTGTAACCTCTGCAAGTTAAAGTTGAACTTACACAAATAGATCAAATGGGTAAAAAGCAAAAGTATCTAGTGATATATTCATTAACATTATATAATGAACTGCCCGATTCCTAAATGCATGAAGAATTTCTAAGAGCAGCTCTTAAATTATTCAAAAGTAAGCTATATACAAGTAAATTAAAAAAAAAACCTTTAATTATTTCACATCAAAATTCTTACTAGCAGATAGCCCAAGTAAACTAGTAGCCTGAAAAATAACTGATTTTTAATCATAATATCACATGTATCATAATACCACAGCTGAATAATTTTGTAATTCAACTGTGATTTCACTATACATTAATGCTTAATCAAAAATGAATGTCAATGCAAGCTACATATTATTCCACCATCTAATAAACATACTGAAAATGACAATGTTTATACATTTTGGGGACCCTCCCAAGTACTGTTTTAAAAGCATTATCAGATTTAAGCTTACAATATACTAGTGAGGTACTAAAGTACTATTCTTGCTATTTTACAAATGGGAGAACTGAAGTCATTGTCAGAAATCAGATTATAACTCAAATATTCTTCAGTCTACATCTAAATTTAGTTCACAACTCTTTCAAAAATATTTAGTTAACTTTCCAAGCCAAGTATTATTTATCATTTGTTTTGAAGTCTATTATGAATTAGGGCTTTGTTATGCTAGATACTACATAAAAACATAATGTTAGTGGACAGTCCCTGCCTCAGAGTTTACAGTCAAAATATATTAGTTTTATATGCTGAAGTCCAATTTCCATGACAAACTATAGTAGTACTACAGATGTAAGAAGATACTAGTTATAGAATCAACTACATTAACTAAAAAATGCCAGTGCTGTTGGTTAACTACAGACAATCAAAAAGCCTGAGGCTGAATTGATTCAATCTTCGCAGGTTAGTCTAAGCTGTGTAGATTAAACTGATAAGCAAGTGAACAGACATTCACTTTTGATTCCAGAAATGCAGCCACATGCCTGCAGTGACCCAGGCCAGAAGCCAGGGCTAGGGGGTGCTAGAGCATGCCTCCCTGCTCAGTTGGAGCAGACAGCTTAGGCCAAGGCTAGCCCACCCCCCTGGGGGGGGGGGGTGTTGCACAGGAGGTGCAAACCATCTTGGGATGCTGGGGGGCTGTGAGTTAACTTGAATCTGGAGAGGAGCTGGAATAGAAGTTCAATAAACAGATCTAACCTGAATCAGTTTAGTCTGATACTACATGCATCCAGGTTTATCTTAAACTGGTTTCAATCATTTTGAAAGTAGTTTATGTGCCCTGAACTGCTGTTGTGTTACAGTTTGAACACTTTTCCAATCACTTATACCGATTTATGTGTAATTTCTGTCCCTAGCCATTCAGTCTAAAATACAACACAAAACTAATAATTAGGCCAAGGATACAAGAGTAGAAGTCATTTACTGCTGAAAGACTGGTAATCTCTACTGTAGAAGCCATGGGGAATTTCTGTACTAGATTGCAAACACTCTTCTGTTTGTATCTGCAGGACATATGAAGTAAATGTTACTAGATAGCAAAAACAAGATTCTCCATCTACATTAGTAATTCACCTGTGTGTTTCTGTTTCCCCATCTCCATGCTACTGACCTCCTTTGTAAATCAGTTTCAGACATACTAATAAAAAGCTTTGATTTTATACATTTAATTAAAAATTGTAAGTTTAAAGTTAGGAAGAAATCCACAGAATTCTAGAATTGCAAGAAAAACTAACTTTATCTTTTATTTTTAGGACCTGGCCCTTTGAGTAGGAAGATATTCCTTGAATATTTGTTCCAGATGATGAACAACAGGTGGTGGAAAATTAAAGTGAGGTATCATTTCTTCCTATAAATGGCAACCTGCCTGCTAATATATATATGTAAAGTTTTGTTTGTTTGGTTTTTTGCAGACAATGTATTGACTTAATGGTGGTAAAGATGATTAAAGGAGGGAAGCAAACAAGAAAACTTTTACACAAGCTAAGAGATCTTTTTGCACTTTGTAATGCATCACCATAAGTACCATGGGCCCCATCCTAAACACAGTGAAGTTAATTTAAACCTAAACGCAGTGAAGCTTTTGATGAGGCTACATCTGAGCAACATATAGAATTCAAGAGGGCACTTCAAAATGTCTGTAAATATAAGAGTACATAAAGAATGCATGTATTGGGAATGGGACAGCCTTTTTCCTGCACCAGTGCTGATCTAAGGAATATAACTAGCATCTGTAGTAACTCTGTAGTTGCTACAATGTGCTCATCATGTAGGTATTTCCAAAAATAAAATAATCTTGATGTAAGTATTATACAGCTTTATTCCCAATTGGTGTACATTGGCCAAATAATATAACAATATATGCTCTTCATAATTACAGCAAGAATTACTGCTTCCTTTCTATCAAGATGAACTGACGCTAACATTTTTTAAGCAAAAATATTATGTTATTATATTAATTAAGTCCAAAGCATTCCTTTCCTTTTTCATGTCCTTGTGACGAGGTATTTAGCAGAATTCACAGATTAGCTGGAATCTGACAGGGCTATACCTTGAGTGCTTCTATTATGGCCTCAAACTTACAACCTCTGGGGTGCCAACCATGCACCTTAGTGCCCATGCCACCCGTCCAAAGCAGTAGCATTTCAAAGAAAAAAATGAATATCCAGTCTTTGCTGCCTCAACTGTTTACACTAATTAGTAACTGTGTATTTTCACAATTAGTGAAGAATTATAAAACTAATTCTACTGTTACAAAGAACTCAGACCATACCAGGTCAGAAAGGTGTATATGTGTGTGACCTTACATACACACACACACGCGCGCACATATGTGTGTGACCTTATATACATACACATATATACATATACACACAAATAGATAGATATAGATATAGATATATATATACACACACACATACATATACATATACACATATACATACACACACACCCATGCACATGCATATATATAGTGAGCAGTATTTTGCTTGAATCTTGGCAGAATAACTAGAGTACCTTATTACCAAGCCTTGACGTTTTTACATTACAAAGCACCTCGTTTGTATTCAGATTATTCACATAGCTCAAAAAAATTGGTTGGGGCTAAAAATGTAACTCATTATGTAACTGCGTATTTTATCACTGCGTGTATGCATGCGTGTGCGTCTCGCCCGCGACGGGGTGGAGGAGACGGGCCGGTGGTGCGCCCTCCGCAAACGGTGACCTCGGGATCCCACCTCAGCCGGCGTGCGCCGGCCCTCACCTTCATTGCGCCATGGGCTTTCGTTTGAGCCTCTGACTCGCGCACGTGTTAGACTCCTTGGTCCGTGTTTCAAGACGGGTCAGGTGGGTGGCCAACATCGCCGCAGAACCCGGGCGCCTGGCGTGGCCCTCCCCGCCCAGCGGCGTGACACGGTCGGGGCGCACTGAGGACAGTCCGCCCCGGTTGACAGTCGCACCAGGAGCGAGGGGGTCCATCCCCGGCGGGCCCCGGCACCGCCCCCCCCGCGAGGAGGGGGGGACGGGGGGCCGCGGGGGAAGGCGCGGCGGCGGTCATCTCCCTCGACCCTGGGATGTGGCGAGAGCTGCTGCCTGGGGGCTGTAGCACTCGCCGCCGCAAAGCGGCGAGCCACCTGCCTGCCAGGCCTTCCCAGCTGACCCAGAGCCGGTCGCGGGGCACGGCCACGGTGGAAATGCGCCCGACGGGGGCCAGGGCTGTCCGGGCGGCGGTCCCCAACCGCCCCGCCCCCCGCGGAGGGAGGGGAGGCGACGGGGATCCATCGTCCCAGGCCGGCCGACCGAGCCCGCTGGGTTGAATCCTCTGGGCAGACTGCACGGACCCCACCCGTTTACCTCTTAACGGTTTCACGCCCTCTTGAACTCTCTCTTCAAAGTAATTTTCAACTTGCCCTTACGGTACTTGTTTACTATTGGTCTCGTGCCGGTATTTAGCCTTAGATGGAGTTTACCACCCGCTTTGGGCTGCATTCCCAAGCAACCCGACTCAGAGAAGACCCGGTCCCGGCGCGCCGGGGGCCGCTACCGGCCTCACACCGTCCACGGGCTGTGCCTCGATCAGAAGGACTTGGGCCCCCCGAGAGCGGCACCGGGGAGTGGGTCTTCTGTACGCCACATTTCCCGCGCCCCACCGCGGGACGGGGATTCGGCGCTGGGCTCTTCCCTGTTCACTCGCCGTTACTGAGGGAATCCTGGTTAGTTTCTTTTCCTCCGCTGACTAATATGCTTAAATTCAGCGGGTCGCCACGTCTGATCTGAGGTCGCAGTCGGATGGGAGGGCCCGGGCGCGGGGGAGGGCTGCCGGGCGGCGGGGCGGCCGAGAGGGACGGGCGACCGGCCCGGCCTCTCGGCGCGCCGCGCGCCGCGCGCGCGTCAGCCCTGCCCGCCGCGGCCGCGGGCGAGCGAAAAGCGGCCCCGGAGGAGGCCCGGACGAAAGGAGCGAGGGGGGGGGAGAACGGCCCTGAGAGGGAGGAGCGGCCGCAGACGGCGCCCTCGGCGCGGAGGCCCGGGGCGCGCGGCCGGAGGGGGGACCGGCGGCAGAGGGGCCCGGCAGAGGGAAAGGCAGCAGAGGCGGCGGGGGGGCGCGCACAGCCCCGGTCGCCGGACGGGCAGAGGCGGAGGGCAGAGGCGGGACAGGCGCCAGGCGCCCGGGACCCGAAGGCCCCGGC